ACTATTAATGTTTACTTCTAAGGAATTTTTCAAATGGTAAGAAATTTTCTTTAATTAAAGTTGACGACCTCCGTGGTCGAGTGGTTTGTACGCCGAGTTTCATGGTGTCGCCGACTCGAGAGGTCCCGGGTTCGAGTCCCGGTGGGGGCAGATGTTTGTGTGATGAATACGACCATTTGTACTCCAGTCATGGATGTTTCATATGTATTTATATATAAATATACTTATATATGTACTGTATATGTATTCTACCCTAGCATCCCATAACACAAGCCTTACAGTGCTTACTTTGGGGCTAGGCTAATTGGTGTAAGTGTTGGAAATATTTATTTATTTATATACTCCTAAACTAACAAATCCATCTTAACCGTTATAGTTTCCTTAAAATTTCATGAAAAGCACTAATATCATCATTTTTTCCAGGTTTTTCAAGCCAATAGTTTAGCTTTTAAACCCCCCGGTTAAGTAAAAAGTACTAGCTCCCAATTATGATCGAGTTTTAAGCGGATCGATTACGATAAAGCGGCATACAACTCAAAAGTTCTGAACCGCAGCCAGCGGCTTAGTTCATTCAACTTCCAGTGAACTTTGAGTGAGGCGGAGTGAGGCGGAGTGATCGATATCAAAATGACTTTTGGATCAATAAGTTTTTTTTTCCTTCTTCTTTTTAACTTTTGCTAATTTCAGATTTATTTTATATTTTTACTACCATCATGTATATATATATATATATATATATATCTATATATTCTTAAGCTCCCAGTTCAGAATCGGAATCGTGTTATCAGCTTAAAGTTTTTTACCCGGCTGCGCAATGCAAGAGCGCGAAGCGCGACGCGCAGACAGGGTTATGTGTTTAACAGTCTATATATGTATGTTTGTTCCTTTGTGGCACACTAGAGACCAAACGCCTGGACCGATTTTGATGATTCATACATCAATCGATTCGTCTCAATCATGGGAGTGCTACTAAAGATATGATAGTAATCAAAATTCAATATGGGCAAAATTAGGCGCCATATTGTGACGAAGTAAAAAAAATAAGTTGACAAAATATGTCGAGTGGGGTATCACTGTCTAGATAATCAAAAATCATATTTAGGTTCCTAACACCATTTTTCATTTAATATGAACGTTCAGGATCTACAACGCTTTAAAGTTGTATATTAACCAGTTACGCTTTTAATTTCAATCTTACGTTTGTATGGATCTTTGTTACTCTTTCACCTAAAAAATACTGAATGGATTTTAATGAAACTTAACAGTATTATAGCTCATATATGATAATTACATATATATAATAATTTATGTAGTTATTGAGTGAATTGGCCATTATATAGCAATAAGTGTCACATAAGACGGGAAAAAATGTCCCATCTGCGAGCCATTTTGGCCTGCACTGCAAAAACAATAAAAGTTACATGAATGTAATGTAGAGTGAAAATGTATCTCTTAAATAGTTCTAAAAAAAGTTCGTGACACCATATATCTATTTTTACCCGGCTGCGCAATGCAAGAGCGCGAAGCGCGACGCGCAGACAGGGTTATGTGTTTATTAACAGTCTATATATGTATGTTTGTTCCTTTGTGGCACACTAGAGACCAAACGCCTGGACCGATTTTGATGATTCATACATCAATCGATTCGTCTCAATCATGGGAGTGCTACTAAAGATATGATAGTAATCAAAATTCAATATGGGCAAAATTAGGCGCCATATTGTGACGAAGTAAAAAAAATAAGTTGACAAAATATGTCGAGTGGGGTATCACTGTCTAGATAATCAAAAATCATATTTAGGTTCCTAACACCATTTTTCATTTCATATGAACGTTCAGGATCTACAACGCTTTAAAGTTGTATATTAACCAGTTACGCTTTTAATTTCAATCTTACGTTTGTATGGATCTTTGTTACTCTTTCACCTAAAAAATACTGAATGGATTTTAAAGAAACTTAACAGTATTATAGCTCATATATGATAATTACATATATATAATAATTTATGTAGTTATTGAGTGAATTGGCCATTATATAGCAATAAGTGTCACATAAGACGGGAAAAAATGTCCCATCTGCGAGCCATTTTGGCCTGCACTACAAAAACAATAAAAGTTACGTGAATGTAATGTAGAGTGAAAATGTATCTCTTAAATAGTTCTAAAAAAAAGTTCGTGACACCATATATCTATTTTTAATGTGTAAGTCATTACCGCTAAAATAGTGAATCAAAACTAAAATATTATTTGATATCTATTTCCAAAATGCACATTTTGTATTAACAAATCATTTTTTATCAAAACAAATACTTTTATCGGTTTTGATATTTAAAAACGATAAACTTTGCTTTTTATACTATGTCATTTCGATAAATATTTAAAAAGTTATAACTATGACAAAGTGGTAGCGCGGTGTACTATGTAAAAGAAAAAAAATGGGCTATTCGCAGTAACTGATCCTATACGAAGCACTAACAATAAAACTGTGATACAGTTCCTTCTTATTAAATGATGAAAAATATATTATCATAATAGGTATTTATGATTATTGAATTTTAATGAAAAACTCAGAATTTTACTGTTTTTCATTTTTTTAACGATATTACTTAATGTTACAAAAAAGGTTTACTTATTATAATGACAAATAACCCATTTCCGCTAGTAAGTACATACTTATTGGAATCCCTGTATTTATTAATCAGCTCGCGATAATATTGGTTTTGTAATAATTCTGCAAAATTCAAAGTAAATAATGTAGATTTTTAAAGGTAAATCACCCCTTTCATCACCCTATACCTATCTTGCGATGTTGTAGCTAAGAACCAAGTTCCCATCTACTTCTGTATGGGAATTCATTATATTCGATTTAGCTATTAGGGCACGGAATCAACAAACAAACTCACTTTCACATCTATAATATTATATTATACTTACTAGTGATCCACCCGGGCATTGTACGGGCGAAATTTATTTATCGGGATAAAATATAGCCTATGTCACTCGGACAAAATGTCTTTAAATAAAGAAAAATGTAATAATAAATAATGTAGCTACCTTATGATGAATTAATATTTGAAACCGGTTCAGTAGTTTGACAGATTATTTGTATATAAAATGTTTGTAACATACAAATCTTGCCTCTTTATAATATTAGTATAGATAGATAAGATAAGTATTTAATTGATGAAAAAGATTTAAAAATAAAGTAAGTAATAGGTTTAATTGATTATATTTGTAAAAGTTACTTAGCATTTGTGCTTAACAGTGATACGTAATTCGGTATTTTTTTAAACAAAAAAAAATTTGGAAAATAATTGCCATGATTGCCCTACTGTGATTACTCTTCATTGGAGCTTTACACTACCAATAAAAAAGGGTCGATCACAAAGTCTTTGACCTGTTATATGTGAACGCTTTAAAAGAAAACCACAAAGAGAACTATAAATTGATAATAAATGAGATTGCTATGGTGCTCTATCTAACGTAATGAAAATTTTATTATGCGCCTTTAGTTTAATCAAATATTATAAACTTTGCTTTGGTGATTGCATAATTATTTAATTTAGTGATCTAAGGCAGTTGCCACCATTGTCCAAAACAGCAAACGGGAATTAATGCTTTCTTCAACCTGCGACATAAACGTCATTGATTGGTATTGTATATAGGGTGATTAAAAACATTTGAAGTTAACTTTTGGCATCTACATATTGGGTTTCTGTGAATTATGTAGGTATATCAAATTATGAGACTAGGGACTGACACTGCATTTGTGTATATCACAATCTTAGACGTCCGGCATTGACATGACAATGCAGCCACTGCCAATTTTAAATAGTCGACGAATAAAAGTAAATGAATTTTATATTTACTGCTAAACTATTAAAAAAAAACATAAACAAAAGATGACATTAGAGATATTTATGTAACGACTTGATTTAACTTCACACATTTGTGCGAAAATTGAGGCCCATCTGTAGCCTTGACTCCGCTGGTAAAGTCTCTATATGTCTTAATAAATCAATCTTTTTGACCGACGCAAGGTACTTAATAATTCCCGCGATATTAATTCCCTTACTGAAGTAACAAGACTACAGTATATACTGTCTTAAAATACTAACTAACTAAAAAGTGTGAAATAAAAAAGGTAAATTTAAAAAATCAAAAAACCCGACTGCTTAATTATAGGTACTTCAAATAAAAACTGAAAAGAAAAAAACAAGTCCAGTAGTCTATAATTCTGTTAATAAGGAACAAAGCTACTTTAGCAGTCGGGACCCACTGTTGAAAAATATTATGTATTCTTGAATATCTAACGGGTCCCGACTGTTAAAGTAGCTTTGTTCCTTATTAACAGAATTATAGACTACTGGACTTGTTTTTTTCTTTTCAGTTTTTATTTGAAGTACCTATAATTAAGCAGTCGGGTTTTTTGATTTTTTAAATTTACCTTTTTTTTAAGCTTGTTTTTGGCTTAAAGTCCCGTCCGCTGCCTGGTCCGCGTGGATTTTTTTCTAGTAAAAATTTTCTTTAGATTTAAACATCTAGCAGTTAAATGCTTAAAAAAAATAAAAACATAATTATTTTATTTTGTTTTAATTCTCTCTTTTATTTTCATGCATATATAGGTATATATTTATTTATATGAGTATGGTTATATGAGTATTTTATATATGTGCATCAATTTGTTTTTAAGTATTATTATTTTATTGCTGTTATTTTGATATTGTTCATTTTATTTAATTTTAGCAACTTTGCTCTATCGCCATACTATTTGTCTCCAACAATCATACTGGTTGACTGGTAGATAATGCCTATGGCGCCGTTTGCTTATGTTTGGCAATAAAGTTTAAATAAAAAAAAAAGAAAATTTAGAATAAATTACACTTCCTTGAATTGAATTTTCGTATTATTTTTTAAAACCTTTACAAGGATTAAACATTTGAAAGAAAAATAGACATTTCGATTACTCCTAATAAATGTTTAACTTTTTGTGATCTTAGAGCATCGGACCGGTCGCCGTTCGACGGCTCCTGCTGCTCGGGATATCGGCCCGTCGACTCCGCCAGTCTCACCACGCCGGACGAAGACGACTTGGACCAAGTGAGTTCATTTAAAACATCACATACGGTGGTAAATAAGTAACCAACTTGTTCTTTAGAATCATACATTTATTTTGTTTTATCGTCTATTGCATGCAGGTTAGAGATAAGGAGAACGATCGCTACGTGCTAAAACATTAGCCCGCCTGTCCCTAAAAAGGACATAGCTCGTTCCCCATACATTGAATGCCCTAGAATGCCGAGCAATGAGAAAATGCTAGTTGTGTTCGAAATCTTTCATAAACTCTAATTAGGCATTTGTTGAAATACGGACAACTTGAGGAACCATGGCCTACTACAGAATGTATTAGATTTTGAGGTTATAATTATTATACTTAATCGTAAAAGATGTACACTTTATATATTCTGAATAGATTTAGTGTTTACCTCTATGTAAGCACTTAAATAATATGCATTGAATGAACATAAAATGCAATTAATAATAAGAAAAATAAATGCTTATACATATTCATATTGATTTATGAGTGTTGGGAGTTGGCACCTATGATACCTATACCTACCTGTACTAATAATAGATTTCTTTTCAAATGAAATGTTCATAGTCTTTTCATTTGCCTGTTTCTATATTTTACTATCGGTAATTAGGTATGTACCTGGTTATCATTATGATTTTCATAAAAATAAACAGATATTACATGGGATGGGAGTATAAACTATTTTTACATAATTTCAGAAATAATCTTTTTATAAATATAATATAAATACTAGTAATAAGTACTAGTATTAACTAAGGTACCTAGTTCTATTTTTATGTTCATAAATACCTATTCGCCTATATTGCATTTATTAAGTTAAACAATCTTGGCACAACAATCTAACAGAATCACCCATTTAATAATAAAATATTAACGAAGCCAATAAACTATTAAAATAAATAGTTATTATAGACTGAAACCTATTGAATCCAGTTATCAGTTGATTTTTAATGCTGTATTTTCTATAAAAAGGAGTGCCAAGGTTGTTTACCAAATAGGACAAGTTGGATGAACAGACTGTAGTATCCAGTAACAGAACTTTTATTTTTTATTTTTTTAAACAGATTGTGCGTTTACTATTATTAATTGCTAATAAGTTAAAAAAATAATAGAAACATAATAGTGAAGGACATTCTTTTGGGCATGCTAGGGCCGATTTCGTCCTTTGTAGAATTTATAGTTCATTTTTCAGCCACCAGCCGCGTTGCCGTCGGTAAGTAGTATCGTGAAGTTAGCTATTTATGATTACAAGTGGATGAAGTTAGTTGAATAATATACAAATTTTCTTCGCGGCATTGGTCATTTCAAATTAGCGCATACCAGCCCGCTTTTGCTGAGACAACTTAGCGATCGCAGCGCCTCACTTATTTTGTCCATATTTCTGTACCACTAGCACGAACCATTATCGAATTCGAATAGTTTGCAAGTCGAAATGTCAATGTCAAATATTGTATGGAAACTTGAACATCAGCGGCACAAAGTACGTAACGAGAACTAAAAATCAGTACACATTTGACAATGACATTTCGGACTCGCAAACGATACGAATTCGATATTGGTTCGTGCTAGGGGATACAATTTTCTACATTGATCGTTCTCCATCTCTCTAACCTCCATGGTCTACTGCTAGAGTAGTAGTTAATTATGTAGATGGCGCCACTGTTTGCCTCGCTGATACTCGTTCACTGTACCGACCAATCGACTCTTCTCCACGGCGTTTGTACTAAGCGTATATGTATATCTTTATTAAATATTAATTTCAACAAAAGTACTTGTTCTGCTGTTTCGATCTACACCAGTAATCTCTCCATACGGTTAAAGAAGTTAGACTAAAATTTAGGTCGTTTTCTGTCCACTTACATTACTTCTATCATTTTCGTAAGATTTCATTACCCCAAGCACTAACTTTGACAAATTCGTGTTCGTATCGGTAACGTCAAAGTTTCTTTGGAATCTAATCAACGCCTCCAGGACCGGTTTTAGAGGTGTGCTTGGATTGCCACTTATAATTTGCACCATACATGGTTTGTCATTGATCCGCCGTAATTTAATTATTTTTAACAAAATAATATAAATAATGCAACTAATTTTATTTGACTTTAGAGTATGCGCATGTAATGTAATATGATTGAGCCTTTGTTATCAACTTTGTGTAGGTTAGGACAAGGGAACGAGACTGTTGCCCTTAACATAGATGTTGAGAAAACCCTTGTACAAGCCATTTACATTTACGTTTACATACATGAGGAGTTCGATGGCGCAGGTGGTGGGCGGGTTCGGCTGCGATAGTAGAAGTTAAGCAACTTTCGCAGTGGTCAGTCATTGGATGGGTAACCAAAAATTTACTATGTCGAGCTCCTCCGTGCTTCGGAAGGCACGTTAAGCCATTGGTCCCGGCTGCATCTGCAGTCGTTAGAACCCGCCAATCCGCACTGGGCCCGCGTGGTGAGTCATGGCCCAATCTCCCTGTTCCGTCCATAGGGAAGGCCTGTGCTCCAGCAGTGAGGACATTAATAGGATGATAATGATGAAGTTTACATGCCGAGTCGATGCATTCTAAACTGCTTACACAGTTGATCCACTAATTGTTATACGAACAATATTTTGCAACATGTGAGTGAGTGCAATAAAGGCATTCACTTCATATTGACGTCTTTTAACAACTATCTCCCGACGATCGTTCCTAGACGTCATTGAGCTACTGACAGTCGTTAGGGTCCTGGTAACGGCCTCTACAACTCTAATGCCTAAAAATGCTTTACTTTTTCATAATTCATAAGTTAAACACTTACCCCCTTATTATTAAACTTAGACTATTTATGTCGTGTTTTGTTCATGACACTCAAATGCCATTTATTATTCAATAGACCGAGACAAAACATGGAGTAACTAATCGAACTTAGTATTCGTTTATTAATAAAAGTAAGGTAGGTAAGTATTTAGTAACTTAAAATATTATACACTTTTTTGGCAAAAATAAAATAAATATTATCTCTGTTGTGGCCCCTGGGCCACAGCCCCGCCTACCTTAAATCCGGCCCTGAGTGACCCTACCGGGCGTAATATGAAACTAGCTTTTTCCATGGAAATTTTAACATGGCGATACGTATACCTTTCCGCTAGTTTCTCGTGCCTGGGGTACATTTTCCATTTGTCACTGCGTTTACAACTAATAAATAATAATAAATATTTCGAACACTCTCACCAATTAGCCTAGCCCTAAAGTAAGCACTGTAAGGCTTGTGTAATGGGATACTAGGGCAACGGATAGAATACATATACAGTACGTATATAAGTATATTTATATAGAAATACATATTAAACATCCATGACTGGAGTACAAATGCTCGTATTCATCACACAAACATCTGCCCCCACCGGGATACGAACACGGGACCCCTCGAGTCGGCGACACCATGAAACCCGGCGTACAAACCACTCGGCCACGGAGGTCGTCAAACTCTCTCTGTTCTGACTCAGACTGTTGTTATTTGACTACAAATTGATTTTAAATCGATGCCTTGGCGGACCTATGTAGGAGACTGGTGTAGTAACAGGTATTAAACGAAGAGTCAAGCTAAAAGACAAAGTGTGTTAAAACAAGATCTAGGTTTCATTATCATCAGCCTATTAATGTCCCCACTGCTGTGGCACAGGCCTTCCTTATGGATGGAATAGGGACTTTGGGCCATGACCCACCACGCGGGCCCAGTGTGGATTGGTGGGTGCTAACGACTGCAGATGCAGCCGGAACCAACGGCTTAACGTGCCTTCCGAAGCACGGAGGAGCTCGAGATAGTAAATTTTTGGTCACCCATCCAATGACCGACCACTGCGAAAGTTGCTTAACTTCAACGATCGCAGCCGAACGCGCTAACCACTTGCGCCATCGAGCTCCTCAAGATCTAGGTTTAGTAAAGTTCAAAGCTGCAAGAAAGGTTATGTTGGAACTGTGGCCTAATTCAAGCAAAATTAGTTACCTAAAACAAGCAAAAAGAGTTACACACGAAGAGTAAAGGTAAAATACAAAGTGTTTTAAAACAAGATCTAGGTTTAATAAAATTTTAAGCTGCAAGAGAGGTTAGGTTCGAACTGTGGCCTAATTTAAGCAAAAGTATTACCTAAAACGAGCAAAAAGAAAAGTTCTCGTTGAAAAGTTAAGCAATTTACAACAAATAAAGACGATCGCTGTTCTAAATTGGCTATTTGACAGTATGAAAAATAAAGTACCAATTCGAAGAAAGGCGCGATTTCATTATCCTGACAAAATAAAAACCTACGATAATATTACTAATAAATAATCATCAAAAAGAAAGAAATTAAAGAAGTAATTTTTGATTTATTGTGATCGAAAACAGCTTAGATCGGCGAAGCCTAAAATGAAGTCGCCTGCTTATAAACTGTTGATCCTCATTAGTGTCTATATTAAGTAGACAAGTTAGAATAAAACCTACGTAAGTCATTGTCACAAAGTACGTCAATGTAAAAGAAAATATAGTGCTATTATGATGTCTATTACCAGTTTATTTTATTTATTTAATATAGTTTGTTATTAGTTATTTAAAGTACTAACATAAACATGCTGTCGATTTCTTTTTCTCCTAAATTGCTTCGTACCGTTTGACATTATAATTAGTTGAGAAGAATTTTGCAATTTTTATACGCAATTTTCAGCGTTGGCTACTGCTGTCCCTATCGCACGGTATTTGTCAAAGCGGGACAGAAATAGTTTTTTAAAATACCTCAAATTTCTCAAATGTCTCTCAGCTCGCGTCCACTCTTAAGTATGGTTATGTTCACAAAATGTAAATGTTACAATAGTACGTAAATACTTTGTTTCAATACATTGAAACGAGTTGATCGCTCTTAAACTTGATCTAATAGTTTGTTCAACAAGAGTTTGGGCTTTGTAAGTTTGTGATACTTAATCTGTGGGATGTACGTTTTTGTTATCCAATAGGCACAGGGCCGTGGCCAGATTTGTATATAAGATAGGGCAACGGTAATTACAGGTAAAGCATAAGTAGGGGCGTTCAAAGCTTCGCAGCTTGCGCCCCATTTTAAGGTAGGGCAATGATATTCTAAGTTAGGGCATTGCCCCATAATACACTCCCTAGCTACGACCCTAAATAGGTATAATAAGCACGTCACATTAATTTTGATACAGTTTAGGTTCATTATAGTAATTTACGGGATTGTTACCATGTACCTTGTTTGATTGATTCTGGTCCTTACCACTGGGTTGAATTACATAACCCACAGATTTTCTCGACAGAATGCCACAACCACATCCCAAGATTGGTCAGGGAAGCGATTGAAATAACAAAACATAAACAATTAAATCTCGAGGATCGGTTTAAATTGTCGAGTGTCTGGAATCATGTGGTTCTTATGTTTAAAAACTGTCTGGATGACTGTTCTACCACTGAGCTACCTCAGACCTTAACAGAAATAGAAATTTCTCAACAGTAAAAACAGGTACCCAATTAAATAACATATACAAGGAGAGTTAAAAAGTTATCAACTGGTACCTGTTGTTTAATAGGTTCTAATTCAACTTCTGCGTGGGAATCACTAATTAGTTTTTCTTTTGTTTAATGTACCTAATTATTTAGTTTAGTAGGAGTTTTACCTCCATCCTCCACGCATGTATTATATGCATATTATATACGGCGTTGTTCAGTTCTGGGTATTTTGGTATAAGATAGCTATTTTAACTAGATGATTTCCGGGATAAAACTTTTCTGTATCCTTCTCCTCAAATTAAAATATCTACATGTTAAATTTCGTCTAAATCGCTTCATAGGTTATAGATTTCTAATAAAAACATCTAGCCTAGGATCCCTTTTCAACCCCTTAAATGTGATTTTTGGGATAAAATGTATCCTATCTCCTTTCATGAGGCTCAAACTATGTGTACACCAAATTTCATCTAGATTGGTTTAGTGATTTAAGCCTAAAAAGAGACAGACACACACACTTTTGCAATTATAAAATTTCTGCACAATTTATACAAAATAATTACCAAATTCAGAAGAAATAGAAAGTTTTTCTTTCAGGTTTCATTAAAATCATATTTATATCATCAACAATCGAACGAGTTATTTAGCAGGCTTTTTATAAAAATGCCATTTAATTTGTATTGATATTATGAAACGTCTAATTTTAATGATTCGTGACAAAAGGGATTACAAAGATATCTGATTTAAACGATTGTTATAAAAGTCGAACACAAAAAGGTTGTATTTTGTGAAAATGATGTTTATTATTTTGACACCGCCGACTCTAGCTTTCTTTCAATCCTCTTCATCCAAAGGTTGCCTGGAAGAACACAATTGTAATTTCCCTCATTTCTGTTCTGTGTTGTGGTGTTTTCAATAAAGTATTATATTGTATTATTTTATTTATTGATTTTCACTAAAAATACAGGTATACAAAACAACCTATTTCTCCAAACTGAAAAGTCACTTTGTTGGCGAATAATACACTCTCTACACTTCTTTTTTAGATGATTATCTATCTTTATTTTTAACTGCCACTTCACATGGTTATTTCGTATTGGGAATGTGCTTATTTATGTGGGTTCAATTTATTCGACTAAATTGAAAGAATACGCCAATAACAAATAACTGGTCTTCCTAATCAATATTCTGAATACGATCGCAAACATTAATATCTGGGACGGGTTGACCCTTGCAGCGGGATCCAACTATGTATTTGATTTTCTGTTACTACCACATATTTTGCGTTGTATGGGCGCAGAGTAGATCCCACACATAAATTGCGATTTACAGCTTCAGATACAATAATACTATGAATTTAGGCGACCTCCGTGGTCGAGTGGTTTGTACGCCGGGTTTCATGGTGTCGCCGACTCGAGAGGTCCCGGGTTCAAATCCCGGTGGGTGCAGATGTTTATGATGAATACGAGCATTTGTACTCCAGTCATGGATGTTTAATATGTATTTCTATATAAATATACTTATATATGTACGGTATATGTAGTCTATCCGTTACCCTAGTATCCCATAACACAAGCCTTATAGTGCTTACTTTGGGGCTAGGCTAATTGGTGTGAGTGTTGATAATATCTATCTATATCTATATCAATTAAACCTAAACTAGAATACTGTAAAATCCCATAACATTAGTCCAGCCTCTGTCTTTAAGTTCCCTGGCCTCCCCCGGGAGACCTGGCCTGACTTGGCCGGCACTGTGGCGTCTGTGTCCTGGGGGAAAGGCTACCTGGGGTTGGGATAGGATGGGATGACACGAACAAACAGCAATCTCCGAGGCCTTCCGAATCTTCCCAGCAACACACAATCCGCGTCACTCTTATAACACTAAAATAATTCTCTTGTATATGACAAAACAAAAAAATAAAATTTACATATGACAAAATGTTACTTTTTGGTGAAAATTTTGACTTTTGTTTGATGGTGGATGTAGGTGTTTGATGGGATGAAATTCAATCATTTGAGTTTGGCCATCGTTGGTCTCAACCCACTGATATTAGATATGAGTAGAGCCAAACCACGCCTCGCGTACACACGAAGAAAGTACTATTGTTACATTGGAATAATTTATTTGGTTATTTACATACAAATATTAAAATTACAAAAGTTTCAAACCACTTAACGTCTAAAAAATTAAGAATAGAAATATCTTAAAACTTACCTACTTGAATAAATAAAAAATTACAAAATAAAAAATATATCACCCCCAGTGCCGCCGTCAGGAATGGTGCCCAATAGGCTGTAAATTGTTACATTATATCTTGTTTGGCATTGTTAAGTGTTTACTCAATATCGACTGCCTATTAAGAATTTTCAATAAATCGAAGATCGTGATCGTAGACATCCAATCATTTTTATTATATTAATAAAAATAAAACATGGATTCCCCTTGAAAGCAATCAACTTTTTGACAACGCATTTATTACGCGGTATTGGCATTGGTTTTCATTTCCCCTTCCTCGCTTCCTTTAATTTTTTTTGTGTAAAAACTTCTTTCGTATCGTCCTCCACTTTTCATTTTCCGATCTTTTTGTGAATGGAATATCGTGCTAAATTGCGATTCCGCCGCCCTTACCACGAGTTTCGAAACAAACTAAAAAATATTATCATAGGAAACTCCACATAATTTACCGGATTTCCTTAGGGAAAATCAGTATCACTGAGATTCTTGGTAGGGGCTATGGTATTTACTGTATATTCCGGTTTGCTTACTGAATCCGTTCTCAATATCGAGTATTTCCAATTGAATTGCTTGCGAACTGATTGTTTGTAGATTTTTCTCTGTGTACAGAATCAATGAATTGAAGAAAGCATCGGAATTTATTGTTGCAGTAAGAGACTTCTGCTTCGCTTGGAAATGAATGTTGAAGAAGGAAGATAAATTCCATAGTAATAACTTATATAGAATTGTTTATTTGTTTCAATGCAAGGTACTTCACGTCATCTGCCGTACGATTTACACTATTATAACTGTAATTTAAAGTCGGGGTCATAATATGTCTGCTGTAAGTCAAACTCAATACTGTGTGAATGTATTATTAATTTGGCTAGTAATAAAAAAATACAAAAATAAAAATTCTGCTGCCTAGTTAGTGGATGTGCCACAAAATGTAGTAATTTACTAATTGTAATGCAACAAAACAAGAACTGGTGAGTTTTTATGAAACCACAATGCAAGTGGAACTTTTAAAATCATTTATAAAAAAAAGTCCTTCTTCGGTTAGAAAACGAACTTGGGCCGCCCCCGTAGAAGGCGAGCTTTTTGCTACTAGACCACCGATGCTTGTTGACAAGATCTGAATTATTAAACAACAATTTAAAATTTAACACAACATGCTTAAAGACGAACGAAAAAACTTATGGCAATGTAATAAAAGTTTCATAGCAAAATAATTAGCCATCTACTCTTGCATCATGCTGCCCACGCAAATTATAATGTATCTTAATCTTTAATAAGTCTTCCTAATTGGTGATTAATTTAGAAAAGAATATACTTGGTAAGTCACGTTCAATCAATGACAACATGAAAAATTATCTGCCTCATTAGGAACCTACCTACTTCCTGCAATGATAAACGATTTGGAATCGAAGCATGCACTTGGAAAAGATATAATATTTTTTAGTATCTATGGGATCGTGCCTGAGGTACGTTACAAAGTCACATATTTTGACTAAGGTGTACGATATTTGTTTTTTAGGTTTTCACGCACATCACTCATTAAATAAAACTAGTTGTTACGGGTTAATGCACGAAACTTTATTTATTTATTGACGTTTCGTAGCCTTTACAGGCTTCGTCGTCAGAATAAAACTTTTATTTAATTTAATTTAATTTAATTTAATTAAATTAAATAAAAGTTTTAATTTTAAGTAACTTTTTTAAGTAATAAGTTTTAATTAAATTAAATGTTCCCGTGGCTCACATCAATGTTTAATTTAATTAAATAAAAGTTTTATTCTGACGACGAAGCCTGTAAAGGCTATGAAACGTCAATAAATAAATAAAGTTTCGTGCATTAACCAGTAAAAACTAGTTTTATTTAAGGTGTACGATTTGTGTAATTAGGCCTAGTAGAGTTAGGACGTGTAGAGTTAGGGCGTATAGAGTTACGGCGTGTAGAGTTAGAAGCTTGGCTCTACATCAGATCTGATAACTTTTTGATAGTGCAGGTCTTAAAATGTTTTTGATGGGATCATTTATACTAGCTTTATCTGCACACAATTTTAATTGCGTTTTTACGTTGTTTTTTTTTGTGGTCAAAAATAAACAGTATTCATTATTGATGTGCAGTCTTTGTTACAGATTCCTAAATACAGGGTCGTCCTTCTAGGGGACGCTGGAGTCGGGAAGACCGCGCTGGTTTCTCAATTCATGACGTCAGAATACATGAACACCTATGACGCTAGTTTGGGTAAGTAAGCTTAAAGCTTAACGGTAAACCTGAAATAGAACATATAGCCCCTTAATAATAAACTAGTAATAAGCTTTGATTAGTTCCTCCATTTTTTGTCTCTGTTCATTGAATTACAAATAGCATTTGAAAGATATGAACAAAACACGACATAACAAGTCTAACCCATAGATGAATGTCTCGCAAGCGAGACAAATCATTGATCTATGGTCTAACCTGTATATTCTATGCTGTTATTAATAACAGCGTAAAATATATTAACCCCCTTAAGGGGGTTAGTCATGTTAGTCTTTATCCAGAAGACACATTTTGCGTGTAAGCAGATTAAAATTTACAAGTTATAAATTGTTTTAATATTGCTTCATTAGGGCTTGTACTCATTGGCGACAAGGCACGGCGCTTTTTATGCGACTAATAAAAATGCAAGTTTGTAGTCACCACCACCGTGGTCGAGTCTATTGGTTTATATTGCGCCACCATCTCTTAGACACACTTTTTGACTATAGTAAATTTCACATGTCAAATACAGTCATAGTAAATGTGTAAAATTTTGACAAATAGTTATTTTTCTCTAGTATTTTAATCAAATTAAATTTAACTTTTGATGAAACAACTTACTAAAATTTGACACATTTATTTGACGTGACACGTCGTCGTTATTTAAATATAACTTGTTTGTTTTACATTAAAGACGTTCAATCAGATGAGAGATTTTTTTCTTCACCAAATTTGCTTTCTGCAATTGTATGTGATGTTGCGTAATAAGTTAAAATATCAACTTCAAATAGTGCATATGATATAACATGTTGCTTCTTTTAAGTATTTACAGTCGTCAGTGGGTGCATGCCCTTATGTAAATCCTCATGAAACTTGCGTTATGTGTACTTTTTGACAGGGATTTTCTTTATATGAATATGTAATTAAATAATAAACTAAAAAAATATTTAAATTGATGTTGTCGTTTGTATTGAAGGAGCTGTTTTCTAATGGATGCATTTTTTCAAACGTATAGCATTGGTACTGAAATACTCTTCAATTCTCTCTTTGTAGTATTAGAAAACGGCTTTTTAAAATGTTATTTTAAAATATAATAAAAAATCTTCTCTTCAGGTGTAAATTAATGCAACAGCCTTGTTGTAGAGGGTATACAACAATATTTTTTAAATAAAATTGTATACCTACTTATGTCTTCATCAAATATTTAAAGTTAAACCCTAATGGGATTACTTAGAGTCTAAAATGCATTGTATGAGCATGCTGTGCGCTTCGCTAAAAATATACACATACATGACAGTGAAACTTATGCATGGTTAGTTTAAAACCGATTTTATTTTCTATGGGTTTAGGTTGAACTTGTTTTGATCCTGACTAGTTCAAAGTTAAATAATGTTCTAAAAGTAAAAATCCTTAAAACCTCTTAAACATTGCAATAATGTATGAAGTCTTAAAGGAAGAGAGAACCTCTGATTAAAATAAAAATAAAACACATTTTATGGTGATTCTAGAAAACTGATAAATATTTTTAGATAAATCATGTATCGATTTATTTTTTATGGTTATCTGTTTATTGGACAAAGCCTTCCGTTACTCTTATTAATATCATTATTATTAAAAATATTTTTCCTTCCCTTGAAATTCTTAAAATTTATATTCTTAGAAGTACTTATCTCTTCTAGTGAGATAGCCCACACATTTTCGTATGAGAGTTTCCGAGAAGTTAATAATGTATTGTGCGAATAATATAATACGGAGAGCGAGCGTAGACAAAATTCCGTGATGAGAAGCCTGTCGCTGACGTCATCACACCGGATGCGGCCGTGTAATTGACAGCGCGCGCCCTGTCATTTGACCGGATGTGCGTCACATGATACCATTTTCGGGTACCTCTATTAGGGCACGAAAAAAATTACGGCGGATATGGGCACAGTAGAAACTAGGAATGTGTTGACGAGCAGCGGGAAGCGAAAGTGTACTTACATAAGTTTTATAATAATAATAATATAAAAACGTTTATTTGGCACAAATTACAAAAATAACTTATTGTGTTACATATAAGTGATTGTGTACCAAACAGGCCACTGCTCAGTATATGTCGAGGCAACATGTCAGCAGCCTACTTAAATTAAATGACATTTAAGGTAATCGACAATAATTAAAATTAAATGATTTAATATAAAAATTAAGAATAAAAGATATTAAATACAAATTTCAAATTACCGAAATCAATTGGATAAATATTGTGAAACAAAATGAAAGCCAAAAAAATTAAATTAAATTAAAATTATCCCTGGGTTTTTGCGAAGTGAAACTTCTTTTCCCGAGGGGTACAATTGGAAAAATACTATGGAAAAGCTGAAACTGAAGTGCGTCACGAGCGTCACACGGCTACATATATGTGTGTGTGGGGAATGCAAGCGCAGCTCTTCTCGACGAGCATGAAAGTAAGAGGGTAAATATATTTAGAAATATATATATTTACTATAATATACATATATTATTTAAAATTGAAAGGTGATCTATCAACACACAGCCCAAACCACTGGAAGGATCGGGCTGAAATTTGGCATGCAGATAGATGTTATGACGTTTTTGGAGGATTTTGATCAATTCTACTCCCAACGGGATAAAATAGGGAATGAAAATTTGTATGAAACTTGGTCAATTTTATACCGATCGGGCTGAGACTTTGCATGCAGGTATAAGAAGAATAATAGATGAATTTCGTTGTGTATAATACAAGCCTGAGAACAAAAACTGTAGTCTACACTTCAGCTCTACACCGAAGCGAAGCGAGGACGGGCCGCTAGTATATATATATTAGTGATGCGTGCTCTGCTCCACTCCCCTATGCCTTTTGCACCGCCTAAAAGAAGTTTCACTTAAGATGTGTGGTCCGTGCTGACTTTACTACTACCAATAGACAACCGACTACTAATAGTAACACATTGTAGATTTAGAGTAACATTGTGGGAAGCTGGCATCCGTGCTAGGTAAGCCCTGTATTACGGACTACCATGCTCTCCCATATAAGATAAGTAGCACAGGAGAACATAGAAACTTAGTTATTGAACTCATCGCAACTTTTTCGACCAAAATGACAATAATTGTGATAGGCATGAAATTAATACAATTTAATATAAAGTAATAGAAGTCTAAATAAGTGAATTATGTGTGTGTGCGTGTGTAGGTGTGTATGTATGGAAGTTTATGATAGCTGTGTGACAATGTGTCCATGAGTAACTTTAGTTAGAATGTGTTTGTGCATTTGCAAGTATTGATGTTCAACGAATGCTATTCAATTCTATTAGCAAAACTTCTCTTGTGTAAGCGAGTGTGCGAGTATGATGAGCAAGGGCGGATCCAGCTTTCGCGCCAGGACAGGTCACATAGTAGTGGTATTTTAAATATTGAAAGTACTTAAATAAAATCCCCCTGGGTTAGGTCCATCTACACCCAGCCCAGGGTGGGTCATGACCCCCATGACCCCCCCCCCCCTGGATCCTCCTTTGATGATGCACTCATCATCAAAGGAGGATCCAGGGGGCCATGACTACTCACGCTTCTCGCTGGCGGAGGCAGTCCTCAGCAAAAATGCACGCCCGCATAGGGTTACCACCCGTCCGGATTAGTCCCGGACATGTCCGGACTTTTAGACCGTAGTCCTTTAAATCTGTTCGAATTTTTAAATTACATTGATTATGAATAATAAACGTACATATTGATTTAAATACCATACCATTGTAACTAAGTGAGTGATGATGGCGATGGCGGTTAGCGCGTTCGGCTGCGATCCTGGAAGTTAAGCAACTTTCGCAGTGATCGGTCATTGGATGGGTGACCAAAAATCTTCTATCTCAAGTTCCTCCGTGCTTCGGAAGGCACGTTAAGCCGTTGGTCCCGGCTGCATCTGCAGTCGTTAGCACCCGCCAATCCGCATTTGGGCCCGCGTGCTGGGTCATGGCCCAATCTCCAATTCCATCCATAGGGAAGGCCTGTGCCCCATCAGTGGGGACATTATTAGGCTGATGATGATGATCAGTGATGATACTATTTTGCGAATAAAAAGTTCAGACTTTTTTGAAATGTCAGGATTTTTGTCAGGACTTTTGAAATTCCAAAATGGTAACCCTACGCCCGTACGGACCTACCGCCAAACGAACCATGTATACTCGTAAATATCTTTTCTATTTCAGGAATACGTTAAATCAATTTCAATTCTTTTAAAACTGTAGGAGTAGATAATACAGCAACAACATGATACAAAGTTGCGCATTAAAATGTTGCTTAATGGATAACTTGCTTTGAGTTGCCTGAACACCTGTTGATTGTCGTTAAACCACAGAGTACCCCATTAGAGTCTACATTATTCTATTGCAAGCTTTTATTTACTTGTACCTGACGGCTGTGTGTCTGTAACAAAGACTTGTAACGTCGTATTTCCCCCGTCACATACATAGATAAATAATATATGGTTTGACATCCGTCACTTAAGGATTTTCCCTATTTTTTTTTATAAACGAAACACATCTTTAAAAATTGTCTTAATTTCATAAAACATTAAAATAAATACGTAATAATTGTTATTCTAAATTTAAGTAAACTTTTGTAATTTATGGTTAGTCCATGCCCAAATTTAAATTTTAATGCGCCAACACTGAGACTCGCGGCGTTTTTTGGAAGTGCGACCTGGCAACATTACTTTTCGGTTCTTTGCAGACACGAACAGTCACTTTTAAAAATGTGAAATATAATATTAATTTATAGTTCGGTTTCTTTTTTCAAAAATGCGCTCACCGCATTAATGTGAATTAATATAGGTGCCAATGGCCCTTTAGTAAAACTTTAAAAGAGCTGCGATTGCAGGTAAGAATTAAGATTGTCATACATAATTATATCTAGCCATGTTGCCTGGTCTCACAAATGTCTCTTTTGTTTCAGCTCTTTATACTCTTTAAGTGATCTTTATACTCTTTATCTTGTCTTTATCATCTTTAATTTTA